ATTCGTTTGTGAAACGCAAATTCTTCTGTAACCTTACTAGGTGAAAATGCAGTCTGTGTAGAAAAATGACCAACCGTGTGGAAGTTATAATTTTTCATCGACCTTTACACTTACATTTTTCAATTTTCAAGATAATTTTCTGTGATCCGTTAATAAGATTGGCGATGAGTGGATTGGTCAAAACTTAACTCAGTATTATACCCCGCGAAAACTCAAGGCTTGAAGTATGTCACGTTGTCGCTTACACGAACGTTGAACAAAAACAAAGTGGCTTTTAATTTTCATGCCCCTTGCTACGACTATGTTACACTATCTATGTATTTTACGTATCTTTCTACAAAAATAAAAACAATCTATATAAATACGAGGCAATGATAGTGATTTTTGTAAGTAATTTCTAAGATATCTGGTCTTGGTGACTCTCTCATTTATCGAGATAAGCTTAGTACTTGTTGAGAGGAAAACGATTCTGTAATGTAAGTTCGTTTCTTGGAAGAAAAAAGAGAACTAGAAAGCATTGTGTTAATTAGAGGAAAAACTTCTACATTGATGTCTCTTACTAGTGTTCTATAAACTGGCTCAATCCGTTCCTACCCATGCTGCTTACGACCCAGCGCTCCTCGTTTTTCTTATTCTTTCCCAGTCTTCCGCTGAGTTGTACAGGGGGAAGCTGGTCTAACCCATTTGAGTAAAATCCAATTAGTGGTTTATTATCAATGCTGCTTTCTGATTGGTTGAGCTGCTACTAGGCTATATGTTATAGCCCACTGGTAGCAAAAAGCGCCGGCTTTGAAAACCAAAACAATGGTGGCTGAATCGCGTTTTGCTAGCTAAAGTTGTTTTGTCTCGATATTTTTGACCAACTAATTGGATTTTACTAAACAGTTATTCCTCTCGCCCTCATGGCCTCTGAGTCAATAGCCCACTGGGCCTCTGGCTTCATGGGATATTGACTCAGAGCCGATTCGGGCTCGAGGAATAATTGTTAAATATACTAGTTAACAGCGTTGTACGAAGGTTTTGGAAAACTGCTCCCAAATTACACAGTGTTTGGGACAACAATAGTCGCGGTTTTATCCAGGCAAAAGGAAAGAAAAACAAAAATATGAATTAACTCGTGTAAGGTGGTTGACGACATAAAAACCGCACAATATTAAAGCTTTTTGTAAAACTATTGTCGGGTCTTTTCATTCTTAATATTGTCAACAACATCCATCATTTGTTCATAACGTCTTAAACATACTACAGTGTCTGTTATCACAAGGCAAATTCACTTGCAAGTGTACTTGTTAACAATCTCTTTACACTTCTGACATTTCACCTGACAACACCAAAGAAAAATACAGTTGCAATTTCTCGTAACCTTCGTCTGTTGGATGTTATGACCTCGTCCGCAGCATAGCAGCTCACACCCGTTCATTCCCGAAGAGGAAATATTACACTCGCGACCCGAAGTCCCGAGGGATCCCTCGCTTGCGTCGGCATCACAGTAATTGGGCGATGATTCATAATAGAGTAGGTCTGCCTCTGTGGGCCGTTTCAGTTGAGGATATCTGGGTTTCAACCGCTCTTTTTTCCTTCTGTTCAGCTTGATAATCATTTCTGCAGCGCCTTCGTATTTTTCTCTTAGATAATCGCCTACTTGACGGAAGGACGGCTGCTGCATCCAGCACGTTCTCATAGAACAGGAACCAGATAAACCATGGCACTTGCATTTCCGCCACAACAACTTTGAAAGGGCCTGGAATAACGAAATTGTTTCATATTACTAGTAACGTAATGATTGATAACAAGAGATTCTTCCCGCTCCTTCCATTCAAAATTATTATTTCCAAACTCGTTCCCAGGGTCCTTTCCTACCCGTGCCTCGGAGTAGGAGAGGACCCTGGGAACAAGATTGTTGTCATTTCAAACTAAGAATCTTGAAACTTTGATAGCTGGGGACTGGGGCGTGCATCATGCAATTTATCATGAATTAATTTTTGTCCTAATATGAAGCTCGGTTTATGGAGCCTTTTTGCAACTAGCCTGAAAAACCTGATGAATTTTTTAACGTGTTAAAATAAAGATTTGAGATTTGAGATTTGATATTTGAGCCGTAGTTTGGCAAAGCATATTTTGAGGAGGTATGGAACTTTACAGGTTGCGAGAATTCATGCGAGACTCGCGGCAATAGAAAACCAAAGCAGCTATGAAAAGAGTCATTAATTGCAAAAAGACATGGTTGCCACATTTATATCTGAAAACGAAAAAGTCTGGATTTTGGGCAACATTGCTAATTCAGTAGTACCTGGCCACGTTAACACTGTGGAAGGTTTTTATTTGTTATTGACATTGCGGAATTTTTGCACACCTACAAAATTACTTACTTCCACAGGAAAAAATAACGGATTCCCATTTTTGGATATTTTTGGGTATTTAAAGAATATCCATAAAAATCCCAAATTTGGCAAAGTGAGACAAGTCCCAACCACGGAATTCCCAACCAAGTTCCCAGATTGGGACTTGTCTCACTCTTCCAAATTTGGGATTTTTGTGGATATTCTTTAAATACCCAAAAATATCCGAAAATGGGAATCTGTTATTTTTTCCTGTGAAAATTCATTGAACACAGCTCGATAGCATATTGCTTACAGGAATATTCAACCACAAACATGAAGTAAACATGAGAAATACCTTCATGTATGCACCCACCTTTCTTCCCGCCCTACTGTTATGCCTGTTCATGACAGCTCGTGGACTGTTTCCCCTCGCTCTGGCGTCGGTAAATTGTTCCGAGAACCTGCTGCCAAACTTGATGTTACTACTACAGCCTGACCAGGTCCAACCCTTATTCGTGACACCGCTGTGCGAACGATCGCAGTCGCAGCTTTCGGTATTTCCAGCGCTGCATGAGGCGGTGACAGCGTGAGCTACGCCGGCTGCTGTGATGGCGTGCAGATACGCTGATTCTCGACTCGCTGAGAGAGCAATGAATAAAGATAATTACTTGAATTGAAAAAAATATGAGAAAATTGCGGACAGTAGCAAGTTAAGCCCAGTTTACGGGAATAATAATTTGGAAACGGCATCCCTTTTTTTAAAAAAGAAACTTTGATTATGATACTCTTACTAGACTTACTCGGAATTTCCTCTTCACAGGATCTCGTCGCCCTAAGTATTTGGGCACCAATCACGCCATAAAAATTGAGCGTGCCGAAAACAAAAGTTATGCAAAATTTCGGGGGGCAAATAAGGTGCATTATGGGAGATGTACAAGTGGCGTATAGCCTGGAAAAGGTTAGAGACTGGGACGGTGTTGGGTCGAATTGCACCACGGGATTCCATGGGGCTGTTTTGAGGACGTAATCTCTTCTTTTATTGGGTATTAAAAAGTTGCACGAGAAACTCGGCCAAAATTCGTCCCTCAAACCGTCCCATAGTGCAATCCGACAGAACACAGACTCAGTCTCGCGCAATCTTAATGACTGGGCAAGCAAAACAAACGTAGAACCGGCTGTTGCCATAACGACAGAGCATGCAACTGTAATCAAACTGTACTCAACGCATGCGTAACTGCAGGAAAACGTGCCAAATGTACAGAGCACGCGTGGAAGCCCATTTTTGTGTTTCAGTCGGAAAACTTACTCTCCTGGATAATTGCATTTTAAAAAGCTACGTGAAAGTAAAATACTTTTTTATGTTAGAAGGGGCGGGTACTTTAATCCCGGGTTCACTGAAGCCGTTTCTTTAAGGCCAAGAAAAGACCTTGTTAACAGAGGCTAGAATACAAGGAGCAGATGTTTACACGGCTTACTCTATGAGACGTTTTAGGTTCACAAAGGAGAACAAAGGTAAAAAGCAAAACACCATATTGGGACCGAATTTGAAGTGTAACTTGTTCCTTTGTTGACTCTACAAACGGCTTAACGTCCAGGAACTTAACGTCTTAACTCTATGAAAGTTGTTTAATTTTAGTCATTCCTAAGATTCTTTCATATTTGGCTAACGGAATTTAGCCGAACGTGTTAAACTCATTTGATGCCGAGGAATTCTGATTTGCTTTTAAACACAATAATTGTTTGCAAAGCTTATTGGGCAAAATCTCCGGAACCTGATGGAATGTTACGAATTTTCTCGGACGTAATAAATGAAAATGCAAGCACTACTGCTGAGTAGTTTTCAGTGAAAAGATAATTACTGTCAAAACGATTATTTTTATATCAAGAAAGTAGCACCTATCAGCCACCGTGAAACAATTATTTAGGGAAACGCCCATGTCTTTTTTAGACTTTGTTTTGCTCCGGATGGGCTTATTGTATTCTTAACTTACATGAAAACACATTTATGAAAACACGTGTATACTTTAATTTCCATATGGCGAGAATACCGTTTTCAAATGCAACTTTTGAATTTGTGGACCGAAACGTTACAATTCGAATGACAGCTACTTGGCATAGCTCTATTTCTTTTCTAAGGATTTTATGAGAGAATAAATTTTGCATTTTTGTAAATTTTCATTTTGGCTCCTATTGGAAGAGAGAGAATTAAAAATTAGAGGAGAATGCTTCACTCGAGCTACGCTGTCGGACTGGCTTCCATCCTAAATCTGAGAAGTTACGGTGTCGCTCGAAAACGGGCGCCTTTGGATCGTCTTCCTACTTTAAACTTATCACTGTTCTAGTCTGCATGCCTGTTTTCTGTTCCTAGCTGAATATAATGCTGTTAATCTTGTAAACAACTTGTTTTAGTCTTTGGAAAAAATTTTCCGGTTTTACTGGCCATTAAACGGAAATCTCTTAACGAGTAGAAATAAAGAAATCTCAAGGCGTCTATAAAAGTGTGCATAATTTCATGCAGTCTGAATGAAACTTTACAATAATTCTTAAAATACTACCTGGAGTTATGACGTTTTCTTAAAGAAGGCTATAAACACTTTTGATCGTCTAAGTATTATTCTTGAATTGTTAGCCGTACTATAATTCCCTAGTACTGGTCGATTTGCGACTCTTGTTATACTTTCAAATTTCTTAGGTTTAGCTTAGGTTTCGTCACTTAGAAGGAAAAATGGGCCGGGTTGTTAATGGGTGAACAGCTTGCGAGATGCTAATGTCTACGACAGTAAATAAAAGCAGAGAAAGCCGATGCAGCTCTTAAAGAGTTGTCTCATCTCTAGAAAGAATTTCTTTTTTCCGAACTGTGGACCGAAGTTGCTTCTCTTGAGTTGGTACTTAATGGTTGACATAATTCCGGTTATAAAACAGCTCGGGGTGTCGGGTTTTCAAAAAGTATCATTGCAGATTGTAAAATTTCTACACAGTTTATTGGGGGTAACACGACTGAGGAACCGCAGCGGAGCCAGTAACTGTTCAACGCGTTAACTGCGATGAAGAGCTGCAGAGAAACGGACCCAAAGAGCCGTGAAGCGACTTATAAGCCGATATAACTTTCACGTTAAACAAAGTGCTAACTTGACTTCCAAGAGCTATAGAAAGTTGCTTAGCCACTTAAACAATTCTACAAAAAAAGCCTTGTCAGTCTATAAAATTGTTGCTGCGGGTTTGATTATGGCTAGCTTCGGAATTTTCTTGGTTTGGCAACTTTGACAATGTGTATGCGACGATTTTGCTTAGAAATATTGGAGAAAATTCAAGAGTTATCAGTCTTCACGGCGGACTCCAGTGCATATTCAGGAATGGCTCATCTCACAAAAGATATTGTAAAAGTAGGTTCACGTTTCCAACTTTGACAAGAACAGCCGCTTTAAAACATAGAATTTAATATTTTTTTCTAAATTTAGACTTTTTCGGCACTTTAGTGAGGTGGTGTTAATCTGAAAAAAGTGAAGTTAGAAAGAGATTCAAAGGAAAAGGAAGGAGTCAGTATCTTGAAAGTCAAGCAGCCGCTAGACACCCGGCAATGAATAGAAGTTGGAAATGCTCAGATTAAACGAAATAATATGGTCGGCATAGACGCCGTAACCCAGTACAGCACGCTCTTGTCTTCGCCAAACTTTCCTTTCTCTTAGAAAAGGATGTTATAAGTGCTTCTCACCGGCTGCGAGGCTGTGAAAAATGGCTAGACATTTCTCGTGCATTCTCTTAGATCCTGGCGGATAATAGATTTTCTAGAATGTCAGTGATTATTGGCTTAGCAGACTCGGTTCAATCGGTCGAGATTTTCTTATAGTTAAAGCAAAGCACTGCGAATCCAAGATGTTTCAGGATGCATCTTTGAATCCTGGTTATGTAATGATGCCTCGTGTTTACACTACAGAAGCAAGCTAGGTTTACCTTTCTTAAAAAACAGTTTCTAACTTATACTGATAGAGTGTTGCAGTTTCCTACATGCTACAATACGCAGTTATCTTTTATCTAAAGCCCACATTTAAGTAGGATCCTATGGCGGAATATGTTCAGGTATACGTAACTGTGTTAACAAGAGACTGCGAAAGACAGAATGTTTAGTAAACGCGTCCAGCTTTTTCATCACAATCGTTTTTGCGGGACGACATGTCTAGTTTCTATAGTTTTCAACAGTGTTTCTTTTTCACCAAGAATATATCTTACACTTAATTTCTATCAAAAAAGTCTAGTTTAAAGAAACTAGCACAGTATTGCATACTTAATGCAAAGATACAGCTAAAGTCGGGCTTCTCATGTATGTATCTCTTACAGACAACTAACTCACAGAGTAAATAAATTCACAAGGCAGAACCATCTTTATTAACAGTGACGAACGAAAAAATGAAACGGCTGGCGCAAGCAGATTTTAAGTACGTCGTTTACTCCTTCGATTACTCAATAAATGTTAGGGGTGATGTCGGATCGAAGAGCGTTTTTGTGCTTTCGTTCTTTACATCTTTAACGGCGGAAATTAAAGTAACAAAGACAAAACAACAGCTTTACTACTTGAAAATCACTTTGCAAATTGGGCCTCTATTGAATGGGGTGTTATACTTGTTGTTTGCGGAAATTGCTCGACGTCTGAACTTTGCGATTTCATACACAGAAATTTAGCTGTGAAGGCAATTTTAAGGATGAAGAAAATACTGACGAAATACACCAGGGGAAGGAAAACTCGAAGCAAATCACAACGTCTCACTTTCATCTATCATCTATCTATCAAGTTGTTTTCTTTTATATTAAGTTTATTTTCTGATGTTAGAACTTCAAAGGGGGTAAGAAAAGCATTTAGAGACACATAATTATTTATCATAAATTCCGCTAAGGACCGTGAAAACGTCTGATTTTTTGCAAGAAGTTAAAGGTCGTGAAATGAAAATTACGAGTAAGTAGAAGAGGAGTCGAGCTCAATTTCATGATACTTAGATATGTTTGAGTCTCTCTTGTGCAAACAATCAATATATCGGTCAATGTGACACTTTTACACCGAACAAAAGGAGACATAGATCACAGACGAAGCGCCTTAAGTAATAACGCCCAAACGGTTAACGTTATTTTAGTCCGTTTTATACGAGGGCAAAGAAAATCTGCCACTTGAAGTTTGTTAGCGAGTACACTGAGAAGGTCAAGTACTGCTTTCGTCGCCACGTATCTCTGACAAATAAACCATACGCTAAGAAAACGAAAAGCTATCGATGAAAGTAAATAGATCTTAAACCTGTCAACTTGAAAGAATCGTTCAGGTCAAGCATAAGTCTCTTAATATAGTCGTCCTTACCTCGCTTGAGAATAGGGTCGAATAATGTACCCGACTCGGGAACAAGCGAACAATTCCATCGCCTGAACTCGAACTGTATTTTACATTCTTCAATGGCCTCCTTAGCTCCCTTGGCTACACTCGCCATCAAAGTTGGGTGTTTGCGGCAGAGATCTCGTTGTTTTGTGTTAAGCTGAGGGGTTGTGTAACATCGAAGAGCAGCTTTTTTCACTGGATCCGAAGTTAGGGCTGAATGAGTTCCAAGTGTCCTATAACAAGCAGAAGAATCTAGGTTAGTTCCGCTAGTTTGAACAAAGTTTCTAAAAAATTTAACTAAAGGATAACTCAAAAAACTCGAAGGTAGGCTTGCAGTTATACTTACCACCAAACAGATTCGCTCTCTTTAGAGAAACATAAACAAATAAAGAGGATGCATGCAATCCTCATAGTTTACCGGTCGATTACCCCGCCGCAGGCTCTTGAGATAAATTTGCGTCCAAAAAAGGATTTTTTACAGTTGAGAGACGCGCACGCTTTTGTCGTAAATCTCAATGGATGTGGTGACTTTTCCTAAACGCCGAATAAAAGGCTGGAATTGGAATTAACCAGGTGTCAACAGTTTTAAAGAGTGTCATTCAAACCAGCATTCAAAAAGCGATTACGCACCACCGCGAATTAAAATCCTGCTTATGACTATCTCGCTATAAAGGGCAGATAATTTCCCTGAAAGACGAGTTCGCAACCTCTCAAGATGAGCGCTTAAATCGTTATGAGCTTGGGCCCATTGTCCCTGTTAAATACGTCTTTATTGCCATGTTTAATAGAATTTGTTTGTGCCAGATTCTCATCGCTTTATTGCATTAAATTAAAACTTAAAAATAATTCACACGAGAGGTGAAATTATCTCGATTTAATTGTTATTATCAAAAACGCTTGAAAACACAAATGGCCCTCAGGGAATTATACACGTCAGAAGTAACAAAATTCGTTGCCTATTTTTTGGAAAGGTTTATCTTCTCTGTTAAATTTCGTCCTGTGAGATGAGTTTTACCTTAAATTTTCAGAAGCCGCCATGTCAAGATTTAGCTATCGGAAATGCGTAGTCTTTTATTGTCGTGGGCGGAATTTGGGCATCATAAAACAAACCTCTGAAGTAATTAGCCATTTTCAACACTATATATTGCGTACCTTTCACAATCAATTAATTATACTTATCTTAAATGGCCACAATAGAGCTGCTCGCGCACTGTGCGGCCTCCGCGAGTCCTTTACGGAAGGAAACATTTAAAATAAAGTTTGATTTAGAGTGTGACGGACAGAAGCGGTCGCTCAAGTTCCGTTTTGCTGCGTTCTCAGACAGTCGCATTTTTTCGTGTAACTTGGATTCTCGGTCCCCTCAACGAGATATTATGAGCCGCGTTTTGGCACAAGGGTGCAATTCCGACAGTTGTTTAATTCATTTCAACTAATAGTTATCCTTGAAATGTTAATCAAACCTTCCAATACCTCGGATGGTAATTGTAATAGCTGTCTCGGTTTTTGTCTGAACGAAAATCTTGGCCTGCTGAAGAAATAGAAGTCTATCAGATGCTTGATTATAGAGAAATCACTTTTAAGGCTGTCCGTCCGAAATATTTACAAGAAGTAAATATTTTATTTTGTTAGCCCGTCTGTGGGCATCATAGTTGCTTTACCTTCTGCTGACTTTTCCTGCGGAAAATTTCCCTGACTTTCATTCTCACTGCAGAGGTCAGTTGGTTTCAAGCAACTGTGAACCAAGGCCGGCTGTGTCAATATAATCAACATCTAATTCAGCGCTATCGGTAACGGATTTGGAGTCTGGTCGGTTTTGCGCTGAGTAAACATATCACTAAAGCGGCTTACATGAAAGATGCATCGAATTAGTGCGAAAAATTGCTTACATTTTCTCTAAAAAGAAGCACTTAATGAAGAAGATGATAATCATTCTTTTCAGAGGTTCTAAATCGAAGGTATTTTTTTTCTCACATTGTCACTTAAAAGGCTTATCCGATCACGAAATATTAATAGGCCGCCCTTTTAGCACAGTCGTTCAAGAAGTCAAAACTATTGGTGAAAATCGATTTCACCCAAGGTCTAAATAACTCAAACCCACGGAAAAACGACCAGTGATTACGTGACTAGCTTGAAAACGAAACTCCAATTTTTTTAGTCGATTTCCCTTATGGAAGTAATATTGATACAACACCCACTCGATTTTATTTATACATTTGTCCAAATTTCCCTCTAAGTTTCCTGTTTAAGGGACCAAAACCATTTTTGGTAGCACTTGTAGTCACGTAGGAGCTCTTAGTTATGCTTTAGGGTAGTGAGCGAGGCGATTAAAAACTTGTTACACCTTTGGCAGTAATCACTATCTGTGAAAAATATATTTCCAACAAAATGACGGCTTCCCACGCAGTGTCAGCACCAAAAATATACGCATTGAAACAATTAGAATGGGAAGATCAGTTTCAGTCCCCCTCTACTAACTATGGTTTCAGCACCAAGCAATCAAATTACCACAGAAGTTTACTAGGTTTCTTAGATCAGTTATATCTGTTTGATATTCTGGTCTAAAATGTAACTGGAAAATAGTTTGAATACGTCTTAAATGAATTGTTTATCTATAGTAAACTTTTTAAAAGTCCTTCTCACAAATGCCCTGCGCTTCAAAGGCAAGCTTGTGTAGGTTCTCATGTTAGAGGACCGGAGACTAGACAAGCTACGAAATGTTCACCACAGCGGCTAATCTTCCTTTCATTAGATATGTGGAAAAGAAAAGAAAATTTTCTTTTTGATACTAGTAGAGCTCTAGCTTGAGCAAAATTGGCGGATTGATGGAGGAGTGGGGACTGGCACCAAATGGGGATTGCACCGACCCGTACCAGCCTCTAAGCGCAGCATTGAACAGCAAAATGGCGGACGAAGGAGCAATTCCTTTGGTGGATTTTAGTGTCATGGGTTTAAATTGCGCAAACCCGCCTTCGCAAGACGATGAATCGGTCAAACTATTAGCCGAAAAGATCCATACAGCTTTTAGTACGATTGGGTTCGTGTATTTATCAAATCACGGGATATCTGATGAGGAGGCAAGTTTGTTATAAAGGTTTTACGAAGGGGTACATGGGGGTATTACTTACAAAAATGGACTGTTCTTCATGAAATCAAAGTCACGTACTTTATTATTTTGTTATTTTCAAATCACTATGCCAAAAAAGAGAGAAATCGCTTTTACGATTTTCGGAGATACTGTTCATACCAAAAATTACAAAAATAGCTAACACTGATGAGCGGGCCATTATAGCCCAAAGAGGGAAAACCAGTTAACTTTTTCGTTGTTTGACTGATTTGCTTTCTCTTTTAACGTCATCCATTAGATTTAAAGGGTTCTTACACCAAGGGTAACCCATGATTCTTCCCTGAGTGTCGTTGATTCAGGCCAGGGGTGGGGGGGGGCGGTGTTATTCCTCAACCAATATTTGGGTTTAGGTGAGCCACTGACCCTGTTTAGGACAAAAAATACCTAAAGTAAAATACATACGCTGTTTAGGACAACACCGTCAATTCATTACCCTGCTTAACACAAAGGAGAAAGTGCAAGCCATCTTGTTTTAAAGCAATTGAGCAATTTCATGTTAAAGGCTTTTGTATACTAACTTGGAGTACAAACAAAATTCATCTAGCAAATCAAATCAATCATGCAGGCGATACCCTGTTTTACAGACTTACACAAAATTACATACCCTGTTTAGGACCGACCCACACAAAATTATATACCCTGTTTAGGACAGAAAGGTAAAAAACGTTACCCTATCCTGCTGCACATCCCTGTATAGGCCATATGAGGGAGTACCCCCCATCCCACCCCACCCCACTGGGATCCAGAAAGCTTTTAGTGATTGCTGCATATCTTAATCTTTTTTATTAACTTGCTTACTGAAATATATTTTTTTCTACTGATCATGTTTTTGGCAGATTTCAGAGGTTCGTAAGGCTGGTGATGGATTTTTTAATCTTCCCGTTGGTGTCAAAAAAAGCTATTCCCGTCCTTCTGATGGAAGGAACTTTGGATGGGTTTCACTAGAAAGAGAAAGGTATGGCTTGCAGTCCAAAATGTTTTAGTGTGTACAGGACATTCCATTTTTATTTGCATCCCCCAAAGACACGTGGAATCTGAATCTTCAAATTTTTGCAGCACTCCTTTGGAAAATGAAATCTGAAGGTTTTTATTTTTTTGTCAGCACCTTTGAAAAATTTGTCAGAAGGGTCCAAACTTTGTTGCTTCTTTGAAGATAAAATTTGAACCCCCCCCCTATTAAAAAACCTGCCGTCCTTAGAGGGGGTCCTTCAGCACACCCCCCTCGCTACTGGACACACCCTAATTTTATTATTGCGAGTATTTTAATGAAAATTTTTATTTGTCTACTACTCATAAAGATTCCGGTTTCTACAGCTTGAATCCTTCACGGCCAGGAGATTTAAAAGAAGCTTTTAATGTTTGTGAGCTAGACGAGGAATCACAGGTTTGTTGTAAAATCAGTTAGGAGAATTTCATGAAAGATTAAAGCATTTTCCCTTTGATGATCATTCAGTCCACTTTCATAACCTTTTCCTGTGATGATGAATGGATATTGTTAGGAGGAAACAGAGATTCCAACCCTGTCAACTGAAAAAAAGGGAGGTTTATGGAGTGGCATAGCTGCACCCACAAGCGCCAAACGCATGAGCCACTAGGTGGGTCCAGGGGCATGCTCCCCTGGGAAAAACTTTTAAGACATGTGCCTCTAAGATGCCATTTCCTGCATTTTGAGATCAAAGTCAATGGAAAATAGTGGAGATTTTAACTGGCAGTGGAAGCTAAGGCCTATTGGTCCCTATCAGGTCAGTGTATTACTGTGCCCCAAATTATCGCAGGCTCATGTTCGGATGCCAAAAGGGTAAAAATGGTTGAGAAAACACAGAAAAACGGCAAAGAATCGTGCTAAAAAAGACTGGTTAAACAAAGAAAACATTATCTTTCTTTGGCTAGGAAGAGTTTCAAATACCAGGAGAATATTAAGCGAAAACGGGAGGCCAGAAATATTCACCGAAAATGGGAGGTTTCTGGCCAAAAAGGGAGGATTGGAATCGCTGAGAAAACTGAAGTTAGTTGCTGGACTAATGGAAGCGGGACTGTAGCTAGAGTGAGGTGAAATGAGTGTTGAATTTCTTGAAAAATATTTTGTGCTTGTTATCTTTTTTTCTGACATTATCTCAGCAAATATTTTCATTAGGCTACAGTTCTGCATGTAGAATGCATTGCTTGCAAATCGCTGCTTATCCCTGTAAAGAATGTACAATATACATGCAAATGTAAAGAGGACTGATATCAATAATTTTCGGATCTTTTATGTCTCTTTTCTTGTAGAGGTGGCCAGACAAAGAAGCCCCAGAATTTAAACCTGTAGTCATTTCTTTTTTCAAGAAGTGTACTGATCTGGCACTGAGAATTATTGATGTTGTTAGCATAGGTCTCAAGCTTAAGGTTGGTAAATGATACTTGAATAATATATAGATTTAGCCAGAGCTAAAAGCAAAACTCCCATTTATGCATTTATAATTTACTTCAAACAATGAACTTGGAACTATTTCAAAGGAATCCAGAAATCTATACTGGACTTTAGGGGAGGACCATCTGACTTTTGAGGACTCGCTGAACACATGAATTTGAGCCCGGGATCAGTTAAAAGCTAATAACTGGTCAGTGGAGTACATGAAAAAAATCATGTGACACAGATGAGTTGACACTTGAGCCCACAATACGCTCTTCTCACATATGGTAATATGCCCGTCTAACCTCGTTTACGGGTAAAAATTCTTTTGAAATTCAAATACGAAAACGTCGTCTGATTAGCATTTCAAAGGACTTTTTACTCAAAAACGAGGTTAGACGGGCATATTACCATACGTGAGAAGAGCGTATACGGTCATGTCATTCTGCTCAGCAGATACCCTGTTTTGACAGCTGTCAATTGACTAGAAAATGGATGTCTATTATCAAGTTTAGGTTACAGGCTCCCATACTAGCTAGAATGACATTTCACATTGGTTTCCCTTTGGTGTGGACGGATGGAAGGGCGGATGGGAGTACCATCACGTGACTACCAAAATTTCTCGGATGCATACATGCAGACAAGAGAAAAGGGAAAAAGTACACACAAGCATTGTTAGATGTTGTGTGACCTCAAAGTAACCAATGAGAATGCGCACTGTAAGGAAAAAAATTTCCAGCTATATAACAATAACCATATATTGATGCATGACACATAAAAAATAACTGTATAAATATTTACAGGACCCCAAATGGCTCAGTCGCGTCCATGGTGGCATTGGCACCGCAGAGAATGCAACTGCATTGCGACTGTTATACTACCCACCCCTCCCTGAAGACTCTGATATAAAACCTGGTCAGGTACGGTGTGGGGAGCATAGTGATTATGGCTCAATTACTCTCTTGTTTCAAGATGATGTTGGTGGCTTAGAGGTGAGAGATATTTTAAGACTAAAGTTTAATCTTAAATTGCAACCACTAAAGATTGTTTTGATCTATTTTTTGGAAGGAGTGTAAAATCTAAAAATGTAAATGCCTTGTTTATAGCGGAAGTGCCTGAGGTCACACCTATACTAATGCGTTTTCATTTGAAAATGCATACCTTTTGATGTGTTCAGTCCTTCTGTCCACACTACTCTGAGCGTTTTCATTGAAAACTCATAGATTTGAAAACGCTCTTGAAAGTGGCTCAAAATGAACAATTCATGCATATCATATAAGACAAAGTGTGAATGGTCGAAAACGGTCGAAAATGCATCAAAATGAAAACGATGACCAAAAACATCACAGGTGCATGAGTTTGTAGCATGTGTGTAGAGTTGAACTTATGTCACATGGGGTATCAATAATTTCTGGATTGACATACCAGTACTCCACATTACACAGGTTCTGCCAGTGAATGGAGAATATACTGCCGCCAAGCCTGTCGCAGGAACTGTGTTGGTAAACATCGGAGATCTCATGCAACAATGGACTGCTGATAAACTAAGATCAACAGTAAGTTGAGTAGGCGACGTCCGAGTTCCGAAAACCCTCACTTCTAAAACGAGGCGAAGTGCACAACCTTTCTTGTGGAACTGAGTTCTATTTGCATGAGAATGAAAAACATTTTCATATCATTGGTTGAGCACTTAACCTCGTTTTGATACAGAGGCCCAGGGGAACTCGGAAATGGCCTATTAAGGCCTATTCCCCATTAACAAGGCTCTCTTTAGCGGGGGTGGGAGCGTTCGTCCTTAGCCTTACAGTTTGCGTTTTGAGGGGTAGGCCATGTCCTTGTTGGTATTCACAATCAAGGCAGGTGAAGCGTATCCCCCAAGATTCTATCAATGAATTGATTATTTGAAAACTGAATCCGTCAGTCGTTCCCGTAAAAAAGTGTCAAAATCAAATTGGCATTCCTGCACACGAAATGAGCAGTGAATATTTTACGAGAACTTGAACTGGTCTCGCATGGCGATGGCGGTGAAAACCACAGGCAGCCCAAACTCTACGGTCGTTTGAATGTGAATGTTATAAGAGAACTTTTAGGAATAAACGACATACGTCCTAATCTCAGTCTTTCGCAAAGATTCAAAAACAAATGACTTACCTTGTCCTTGTGTTTTTTCTGTTCGGTTCTCGAGCCATTTCAAAGTCGTTCGCGGCCAGTTTTCAGCGTTTTAGATTTCAATGTGGACTAGCCTGTATTCCTTTGTATGGTAAGAACTCGAAATATATCTTTTGCCCCGCTCAATTTGTCAATTGTAGACAAATTGTTCAGCAGTTGAATTCTTCAGCACTCTGTCCAAGTCCAAAAACGGAAAATTCGTCGTCGGTTGTTCACTTCGTCCAACGTCGCAATGGGAGGTTTCTCGTCGTGGTCAAGTAGTTCACGTCAGCGAAATTTGCCAAAAAGCGTGAATCACTACTCACGCTTTTTGGCAACAACAGCTCTGCACGTGCAGAGCTGTTGTTGTTGTTGTTGTTGTCAGTTGTACCAAAAAGTCTGAAGCACGTGCGGAGCTGTTGTTTTGTTTATAAAACCAATGTTTTTTGACTTTCTGGTTTTGCTTTGGGTTGAGCTAACCTCCGAATTTGAAATTTTGTTCTTAAAATTTGAGGCTGGCGTTCAGCATTGACACAAATGACCGCGAAAACCTGAAGCTGCTAAGATAGGAGATGAAAACTTGAAGGAATGGAGCACTAATTTCCGTTTAGAACATTCTAACGGGGAAGTGAGGACTACCTTTTCAGATGTCCTGTTTCCTACAAAAAAATTTTCACTAGAACGACCCGAAAAGTTACAGAATTCCGTTTCTTTTTTGTTTATGGTAAATAACCGTTCTCTCTCTCCTTCGCCTCATCTTTGTCATCAGGACCGGTAGTGGCCCTTAAACTCAGAAATTCCAATTAGACTACGAGCAGTCTCTTTTTTTCTTAGTCCGTCGAGCGAAACGCGCGAGACACGAAAATGGTCACGTGTGTGATGGAAGGCGCGAGACGGGAGAGAACCGAAAAATGTCTACCGCCCTGTCTACCGCCCTCCTTTCTCAGCTGCTTTGCCACTCGACCCTCGCGCGCGCGCACTACTCTTACTAAATCTGTAGAAAAAGCGACTGCTCGCAGTCTAGTGGAGATTTGTTTTATATTCAGTTGTTTAATAACTTTATTTTCTTTTCCAGAAACATAGAGTACTCATTCCAGAAGAGGAGCTAAAAAGAAAAATATTGCGTAGATCACTAGCGTTTTTTGTTCATCCTAACAATGATGTTATGATTGAATGTCTCGATGGGTCAAATAAATACCCTCCCATAACAGGTATGGGATATCTTCAACAACGATTTGCCGCAACATACTAAATATGGATATATGAAGATTATACAGAGTAACCGAAATGCCATTATCCAATCATTAGAACTTCGGATCGATTAGGTTTCTGGAAAACTGCCCACCTACCCCTCCACTAAGCCAGCCAACATTATCACTTACTTCTCACCTAGGGCAAAGTGTTGGCTTAGGGAGGGGTACGTGGGCAGTTTCCCAGAAACCTAACTTGTCCCAGAACTTCTACTGACGAATTCATGTAGCTTTATAATAGCTTTGCGTACACATAATACAGAGATTATTGACACCATTCTGTCTAAAAAGAAAAGTGAAATTTTAAGGCTGGAACAACTTGGTTGTCAAAAATAGCGGAGAGAACAGAGCAAAAGAAAATTAAAATGATTAGAGATATTTACATAACACGTTCATCTTTGTTGTTAAGTGTTTCTTGTGATTGAACTGTTTCTTTTTCCCCTGAAAATTTCTTACAATTCTTAACAGTTTCTTTTGTGACTAACCCCTTAAGAAACTTGAAGTTTGGTCCCCTCAGAACTTCAATCATCTGTTGTCACGTGGTGCGAGCAAAGTAATGAAGAATGGCATTTTTCAAGTCTTAACCACACAATTCACACAACAGTCCATTTCAAAGCGTGCTTTTAATATCGACTGAAATGACTACATACTATCTGTAACCATGACAAAACCTCACAAAAAAATCCACTCTGATCAAATTATGGTTTTATTGTTTACAAAAATAATTCTTTGTAAAAAATCTTTGCTTTACGCTTCCTAGCTAGTACTACAAAAGTATGCAACGAAAAGATGTTTTTACATCCCCAAAATGATATAAAAGCTTAATTTGAGAGGCAGGTGTGTGAATAGACTGCAAACAGTCTCTCTTTTTCTTCAGCTTTAGTGAGGGGAGCCTTCAGTCACGCCCGTGGTCATCTGCGTGTCTCGCGTGTTTTGCTTGAAGAGAGACTGCTCGTAGTCTAGTGTGTGAAGGGGAAGGAAATAAGGAAATTTTCACCCTCCAAGTCGCAAGAGTGACCAGATACAATTTTCTCCTTACTATATCAATAAATAATCAAATAAAAAGGTCATGAGAATTAATAAACTGATCGCTAACGGGAAAAGGTTTTGATCTTTTATCAAATTCTCTCAACTAATTCTTTCAGGGAAGATATGAAGATCAGGCCCCGGTTGTTCCAACGTTGGATAGCACTGTCTAAGAGAGAAATCACTGTCCAGCGGATACGTATTAGGGAAACCAATTGCGCTATTCACTGGGTAGCGATTTATCCAATGGATGGCGTTATCCACCTTTTGAATTACTGGGGCCAGTTTTTTGAAATTGTATCTGGATTCTGGGTCTTTAAGGGTGTGCCCTCCTTACTCCTCCAACTTTTAAATTTGGGGACTTGGGCAACTACTCCAGGTAACTGGTCAAAGACATAAGATACATACGTTCAAGTCAATCTTGGACAGTAGTTTAACCCTGACACATTTATGGTCTAGTCAATGTAATAATTAATAACGTATTCTGTCATCACATTGATACAATGGCTTTCTTCTAATGAGCTACCTCGATGACAGTCGTCACTACCATATTATCAAAGTTAACCCTTTAAGTCCCAATATCCACATACAAATTCTCCAAACTGATCTCTATACATTTCCTTCAAGAATGAGTTGAGAGAATTTGATAAAAGATCAAAGCATTTTGTTTTTGGTGATCAAATTTATTACCTCTCATAACCTAAACTCTTGACAATCTGTGTATATCATTAGGAGAAAATTGATGCTGGTCTCTATTGGGACTTGAAGGGTTAAAAGCTGGCCTGCGAATACAGCCTAGCCATCTACTCCTCCCTCCCTGACTCTCAGAGGGACACTGTATTCGCAGGCTAAGTTAAAGCAACCACATCATGATCTTTACAGGAAACATAAAATCCTCTTGAGTTTCCTGTTCTACTTTCCCCTTTGTTTCAGTTTTTTTTATCATAATTAATTTACTATTCTGAAAGGGCAGATTCAGCAAAAAGAATGCGAGGTGAAAAAAGAAAATCACTGTATGCAGTAAACAAAACAACAACAACAACAAAATATTCAAGTCAAATTTTGATCCGCATTCTGAGTTCCTAGTGACTGGTCTTTCACGTCGCACTCACAAAATCGCTCAGGTTGGGACGTGCAATGAACGTGAACATGCACTTTTAGCACGTGCTGCGTGCCGTTTTTGATGATTGCCAACTCTGCCCTACTTCGCAGTCACAAGGCATCTCAGTTATTAAATGCATAAACGTCAACAGCTCCATCAGTGAGGATGGACCTGTTACAAAAAAACTTTAGATTGGTCTCTGTCGTACTTTTTACTTAACTGGAAAGCTCAAGCAACTACAACCGCGACGACAACGAAAACTTCACTTGAAACTTGCTGCTATTCTACCTCGCTCGATTTGTCAAATGTTGTGGGGGGCGGGGGGATTTTTCCAAAGGATCGTGACCAAGATCAGAAAAAGGAAAAGAAAATCGTTATCTCGTTTTCATGTCCTCCATAAAACGTGAAATAAGGAGGTTTCACGTCGCAGTCGTCCCACGACGGCAAAGAAATATACAATAAAGTTGTGATGCACGTGCAAAGTCGTTTAGCTGCTAATTTAAACCTATCAGTATTGTTTTTCTGAGGTTCTCGCTGCCGTTGCCGTCGTCATTGCTTCAGTTCTGTATCTCTAGAAGAAAACCTCCGCAGACGGATACTTGGTGCCAGTACTGTCAAAGAGAGAGTTGTCTTTACCTGGAATATAACAGTGCCGGATCCAGACTTTCAGATAAGGAGAGGGGGGGAGTTTCCGGTCATCCAGACCCTTAGAAAAGGGGGGGGGGCAGCAGGCAGTTTCGTCTAAAGATAGGGGGGGGGGGGCGCCCCGGGGGCCGCCACGTTTTAAATGGTAGCACAAGTACTATTCCCCTGCCCGGAACACATCCTTCCAGGGCCAAAAAACCGGTCGCTGACGCCCAATGTGTACGAGGGAGGGTGTAGCAGGACGCTGGGTGAGTAAGTGGTAGCGCGGAAGACAGTACGGGGTAGGAAGGGAGAAGGAATGAAGGGGAGGGCGGTGGATGGGGATGAGGGCAGAGAGAGGGGGGGATGGGGGCCAGTGAAGTAGTCAGAGAGGGGGGGGGAGGCGCTCCCCTGGATCCGCCACTGTATAAATGCTAGCAGAATAATTATTGCCTGGCTCGTAACACATCTTTACAGGGCACATAAACAGTTCGCTAAGCACCAATACCACGGCTGCCAACCTTGGCTCCACCGCCATTAAACCACAGAGATGCACTTAGTTCCCAGTCTCCACTACTTCCCGTTCGAAGACTGGACCAAGAGGCACTGGAAACAAGGTTGCGCCGACCTTTTAAAAACTCTTAGACTTGAATTAATTAATACCTTGCCTTACATTTGATACTGCTCCTTGGTCTTTTTTTTTCTTTTTCCATAAAATCGGAACATGCTTCCCACTCTTATGCCCATCTACATTCTTGGACTACGAGTATTTAAATAAAGATAAATAGAAGTAAAACCCTGTAATCTTAAATATCACCCCTAGCATTGGTTATCTGGAACAAGTAAGCTCTATCAAACAACATACGTAACCATATACCTTTCATAAAATCGGATAAAATAAAAACCTCGTTGATTTCCTGTCTGACTCTCTGTATACACCGTCCTTAAGCTTCAACTACCATAGTGACATGACACGAATATTTTGTCCTATAAATTTGGACGAAATCGTTACTAATCAACTAAACCCATTTTGGCAGCATTTTGCACGGTTATAACCCAATTTTTCGGGGGGAAAGCTACGATGAGTACTCTAGCAAATGCTTAAATTTTGACTATGGTAGATAAACCAGGGGCACACATTCTTTACATTAAAACTTAGGGACGTCTTTCTGATTTGTTTTTCTAAATATCATTTTAGTGTCTTAGAAACATTGTTTTCCATTTACACGTCTGAAGTACTTTCGTGATTGCTCCTTAGCACTGCTTTGTGATTGGCTGAAAAATCTAAAGTCAATTTTCAACCAATCACAGTTTACACTAAAACCAGTCATGACTTGCACACGTGCATTTTCCCGTCCTTCGCACTCGATATCTTTTCGTCTCGAAATCTGATTGGTTCGTTGGATTGTCAGCTCGTGTTGTGATTGGCCGGGTAATAAAAAACACCTATTGTGTTTTTTAAATTGAAAACCGTTTTCAGACAGTGCTATTTTTTTAAATCTTTTGGCTAAATATTAAGCAAAAATCGGGTGCCACTGATAAATCCCACCTTGCTACATCAATGGTAAGACGTATAACATAGTTAAGACTGAACGAAGATAAAAAAGTATAGGAGGAAATCAGTACGAGTATAAAATAAACCAATAACCGTTTTGCGATTTGTTTTTCAGTCTTAAAATGAAGAACATAAAACTTCAATGATCTTATGTGTGTTTGACACACAACAGTTGTTATAAACTGCTAGAAATAACAGGATTTTAACGCATCCTTGGGCGGTGAATAAAAAACCATATATTCCCTTAACTACAAGACATTACTTTCTTGGTAGCCTCTACAAAGAGTTTAATTTAATAACACTAAGAGCTTGTCACTACTATTTCTGTGCAGCCTGGCTGGAAGTGAATTTTTTTTCTACGAAATTGGTTTAAAAAAATTCCGTGGTTTACAAAAAACGTGCAGGGCAGAATCTTTTTCATGGCACAACTTATTTAATGGTATTACCAGTTCTAATTTGGCTAAGCTAAAAAACCCTCAAGTTTGTTTGAAAAAAAAAATGATGTGATTAGTGATGTGTTCCTCTGATTTCTCTCTAAAAATCTAAAAAGGCATTTTTTCCCCCATTCTTTCGCGGTATTTTCGCATTTCCCAAAATTTATCTTTTAAATTGTTATTCTGCCCACTTTCTAGGGTAAAATTCCCCAACCAACCAGACTACAGTGGCAAGCCAGCTAAAAATACCTTATATTACTTGCTCCCTCCACTGGGGCTGGCATTTTCATAGCAGTTCAACATGATCATACATAGACATATCCATGGATTTCTTTAACCAGACTTGTTTCTTACGCTACAAATTCTATAACATTTTTTTTACTTTAAACTTAACTTACACTTACACATTAACATTTAACTAACACATAACTAGCTTTAAAAACTATGAGCTACATGTTTCTCTTAGTGGTGATATTTGTCTTCAAAACAAAGCATTTTAAGAAAATACTTGACAATTATGGGACAGCGATGCATTTTTAAAAATACACAAACTTGACACAAACACTAGTAATAATGAACTCATCCCAAGACATCATGCTCTTGAAATTACGTCAAAGGTCTCGATCTATGATCAACTGGGCTAGTCTAGTTCATGACACTGGCCAATAACACTAGGGAGGGGTTAGCTTAAGGGCAAAAAAAATACAAAACATTACCCATTATACTAGGATAGAATGCTAGAATGGGCGTAAATTTACTTGGTGTGAACAAAACACACACCCTAGCTTAAAATGTTTCAATTTGATTTACGTACCATAAACCAGTCCGTCTAATGACTGCTTCTTAATCTAAAAAGCTCATTGCTTGTGAGCCGAAAACTGTGAAATTTCTTACAAGAGCGATTACACTAACAGTCTTGTAATGAAACTATAATTGCCTTGGTTTTCATACCTAGACAACTGGAATTTTTATATTAGAATAGTGTCAAGCATTTTAACAGTGGAAAGAATACACCACTTTTGTCAATATTATTATAATAGTTATAATTTTTTAAATCCTATAATTCAACAATTACATAAGCCGTAAAAGTAAGTTCATTTATCCTGGAAGGTTTTTCAGTTGGTAGAAATAATATTGCTTAAAAGGAATGTTGAATAATGCTTTTTCT